ATAGATAAAATATTTATCTTGAAAGTAGTACATATGGCCTTTATTAAAAGATGGGCAGACTTTAATTGTTAGTTGTTTAATGATAAATATTAGACACACAGACACACAACACATACTGTTGTATTTAAAAGCATTATTAGAATTATTGGATTAAAAGAAAAACTATAATATATTATTCTGGTCTTTTTTAGTAATCCAGACACCATTTTCAATAAAATGAAATTCAGATTATCTTCCTTCCAATGTATCTCTAGAGACAGTGCCCTAAGTTAATGAAAGATGGTGAGGTCATTTTAAATTCATAGTTTATTAAGGTACACTGGGGAAACAGGATTCCCTGCAAGTGTCTTGGGGTACCTATAGAGTGGGGACTGGGGAATAAGGAAGAGGAAAGCAGGTACAAGGAGCCTGCTTCAACGAAAGTAGCTCCATTTTTATACGTGTTGAATACTGAGGCTCTGTTTTATTTTGTTTGAACTATGGGTTCCAAAAATAAAAAGAATAGCAATAGTAATGACAGTGACAAAAATGACAATATTACGAGATTTGCTGTTCAACAGAAACTTTCCAACTTTAAGATTTTATACTTGTTCATGAGATTCTTTGGAAAAATACATCTGGGTTTTGCATGTCTTATTATATTATCTTTGTCTTTTATCAAAGATTCTCACCTTCCATTCTTTTTTCTCCCTTTCCTTCTTTCCTTTCTTCCACATTTCTTTAATATTAATGTATATATAAGTTAAAATTGTAAAATATTGATTTAAATTAAAAAAATAAAACCCCTTCATCTATGTATTTAATTCTCTTATATTAACACTGCCTAACTTGACAATGGATGAGTAATTAATGTAACTGATGTGGACAACGTATTGGACTCCTGCAACTCATCTGCAGGAGTTGTTTGCTGTCGAGGAAACCGGGACAGAAGACCAGTTTAGCTGAATTTTTTCCTGCTGCTGCTAGTTTATAAAGGACTCTTGAGAGTGGATGTTCAAACTTAGTAAATTAATCTATAGTCATGATTAATATCAGTGGGGAAAATGTTTAAAACGAGAAATTATAAAACAATATGTACCTGTATTTTTAATTGGTTTATTGTTTGTTTGTTTTTACCCCAGCTGCATCAGATTCTCATTTCATAGCCCACCAGTCCCATTGGTTCATGTAAGGTCTCCTCCTGTGTGTGTGTGTGTGTGTGTGTGTGTGTTTGTGTATTCAGTTACTTATGAACGCATTCTTTTTCATCCTTTTTTCTTTTGCCATTCCCTTCTTCCTTCCATAAACAGTGATTATAATTTATGTGATCTTATTTATTTGTAAAATGTATAATGTTAACTTGTGTCGATACCACTTTCACATGCGTAACTGTCATTGCCATATGGATCAGATCCTGTTTCTCACTTGTTTTTACTCAGCAAATGGTTTTTAAGATGGATTCACTTGGTGTCAGTGCCTGGTATGGTCTGTATCCCAAACTCTGTGCAGTGTTTTCACTGTGAGCATTCACTATACTCTCATTGTCCATATCTCATGATCCTGCCACCTCCCCACAAAGAGATACTCAAGGAGATTTCTGGGTCAGAGGGTTTACATGTGCTCAATTTAACGATGTTCTGCCACATTGCCCCTCCAGAAAGCTTGTGCTTTCCTACATTTCCATTAAAATAATAATTACATGTTTATACATTATAAATAAACAGTTGTTTCATTTTTCATTCTGATAGAGTCTTCTCACATCATGGAGTGGGGATATACCTGAAAAACCACCTAGCAAATATGCAAGTATAGTCTTTCCTGAAGTGAAAGCCCTGTAATCCCACATTGTGGTCACATGGCATTTTTTCGCTTTCATAATTTTGCAAGATGATGAGAGTTAAGTAACGTGTCATTACTGCTTTAGCATGTACTTTCTAATCACTACTGAGTCTGAGCTGTTCTTCATATATTTACAATATTTTTTGAATTTTCTCCCGCATCATTTTACTCACTGCCAAGATATTTCTGTTTTTTTCTAGTATATTTTATTAACATATATGACAGTGTTAAATAGTGGCATATACAGCATAAGGGTGATCATTTTAAGAAGTGGTGAATTGTGTATTGCCTGTCACATGCTAAGTACTGAAAAAATATTGGTGGATTAAAAGACATGAGCTTTTATGTAATATATGGTAGGATGTATGGTAACCTATGGCTTTGACTGTTAATAATTTTAATCCATAGATGTTTTTGAAGTGATGTTAAATATTAAGTATAGACAAAGAAATAACATAAATGAAAATTTGTATTATAAAGATAAGAATAGCTCTTGCCAGTTTGAGGACCATATAAAACTAAGTAATTTCAGAAGTTATGAAAACACATTTGAGACTGTCTTATTCTAGTGATTTTTATAATTCAAATATTAGCTGATTATTATAATTTTAAATTTTGATAACACATTAAGTATGATTTTGAGCACCACGTCCTATCATCACCGTTGCATGTTTAGTGAAAATTTAGATTTTCTTAGATATCCTAATAGAAACAATTAGAATAGGCACTTTCTATGCATGTAATTGATGAGTCATCTGTACAGTCTCAAACTTGAGCAATTGGTAAACATACATGTTGCTATAATTTAAGTATAAAAATGTAAATATTTGCCCATAACTAAATAATAGATTTAATAATTTATGGGTACACTATCTCCCATGAATTATTTCTTGAAGGCAGAGTAAAATGTTATCTGAAGTTTGAATATGCTTACATTCAAGTAAATTAAATGGTAAAATACTGTTGTAGTGAACTTCCATGTAGTAGTATCATTTTCAACAAATTTTTGCATGTATTTTGAAATAGGTTATAGAATTTTAAAATTAACATATTTTTCCAAAATATTGTATTTGAAGTCACAAGATGCTAATTCTCAAAACTATTAAAACCATCTAATGAATTAATAAGGAGTTATTTGAATATCCACTTGGTTATTTTAGTGTAGTTCTTGAAGGATTCGTAGGAATTTGAAGAGGCAACGTAAAGGGGAGATCTTACTAAATAACTATGTCCGAGTAGTCACAGTCCCTGTTTAATCTGATGCTCACTCACCGTTGGAACCAAGAATAAATGGGCAAAAGAACTGGAAACTCTTTTGAACTATAGTATTGCACCAACTCTGGTGGGAAACTGAGTGAATGGAAAAGGTTAGCAGGTATATCGTGGGACAGAGCAGATCATGTAGTTCATGATCTCAGGTAAATTATGTTGGTGTAATGCTAGTTTTTGGTATATTTTGTTCAGCAATATTATTAATGTTTCTAAATAGTTTTCCTTTTTATGACTAGAAGCATTTTTCATTTCACTGGGTAATTATGTTTTGTAAATTTGCCCTGTTATTTTGAGATGTGAGGAAGAAACAGGTAAATCCAACGGAAGTAGCAAGAAGATTATGCAGTTATATTTTTTTCATAGAATATGCTCCTGCAGAAAGTAACAATGTAATTTCTAGATTATAAACCATTAATTTGTTTCCATTGAAAATCATCTGCTCATAAATGTACTCTTCCTCCTGACTAAAGGAAAAAAATGTATTTCCTTTACATTTTTTCCTCTTTTAGTACTAAAATTTTCTTTAGTGGTATCACCACTGTCTTTTATGTAATTTTCTCATTTTATATGTACAACAGCCTGGGATTGTTGAAATAAACCTAAGGCCCACGTGAAGATAAAGTTTTTCTGGAGTAAGTTATGGGAAAGTCGTTCTTGTTTGTGTTATTGTGGGCATTTTCATGGACTTTTGTTATTTCACTAGCTTGCAACTGGTAATATGCTATCAATGTGTATTAAATCACTAAAACTTTTAAAGATTCAATCATGCGATGTTTAGAATTTCCCATGAAAACCAATGTTGAGCAGTAGGTAGTTTCACATAGACATCTGTGAAGCTCATTGAAAACATAATTTTTCCAACAAGTATCTTTTTTATGTAATTATCGCCTAATATGGCATACAGGTATTTTTCTAAGGTAAAGCTAGCAGCATTCACAAATATTTGGGCACAATAACTTTGGGCAGTTTTATCTGATCTACAGCCAGGCAACAGAGCCACATATTTGGGCCATCTGATTTGTGCCAAGTATTTGTACCTAAATATTTTGACAGCACATACAAAATGGACCAAAGAAATTATACATAAAATGTTGAAATATTAAATGATACTACCTTTTTATATTAAAATTATCTTTTTAGATAAAATAGAAACATGAAAAGCCCTGTAACTAGTCCAACAACCTAATTTACAGGACACAGCGCAAAATAAAAATGTAGAGCTCTTTGTTCACATATTATTAAGAATTTCTAGGTGATAACAGCAAAGCATGAAACCAAGCATAGGAACTTCTAAGCAGAGGGCCTTGTACTACTGCACAGACCACACACACATCCATGAAACCACGCTCTGCTTCTTCTAGTCAGGAGTGTATTGCAGGCAGTGAAGAAAAGACACAATGTAGAAACTGATTTATCTTAGCCAAGGTGAAGGTATAACAATTTCTTAAGTGAATCTCCACAACAAAATTCTAATGATTTTCTTCTACAACCCATTCCACACTAGAACATGGAAGTTTATACTCTCCGAGTTGCTTGTTTCCATGAAAAAAATTACGTGGGTGGTGGTAATTATGTTTTATACAAAACAAAATTGGTCTAAGTAACATACATTAAATAATGTTTTCTTTATAGCAGTGTGAACAAAATGCATGTGTCTGATAATATTTAATAGATTTTCAAAAGCAACATTTTGCATGCTGTATTAGATACACTTTGTGTGTTCAGGTAAGTTAATGAAATCAAACTACAAGTGGTTTTGGTATTAACGTTCTGGAGAACTTTGTACTAATGTTCTCTGAAATGGTGTGCTGAGTTGGTTTGTCAATGCAAGGCAATGTCTTCTTTGCCCTATGGACCCACACTAGAAACAGAACACATTTTTTATGTTATACTTGAATTTGTCTTTTTAGGGATGCAAGTATTGGAATGGAATGGAATTCCTTTAACTTCTAAAACGTATGAAGAAGTGCAGAGTATCATTAGTCAGCAAAGTGGGGAAGCAGAAATATGTGTAAGACTGTGAGTTTTTCCCCATCTTTTTGTTTCCATTTTTTGGCTATTCATGGCTCTTTTAATTTAAAATTGTTAAGGTGGAACCTTTGCCAGTCAGCAAGATTTTCTGTAATTAGAAAATAAAGTGAATACAAGTTTTGTTTTTCTTTTTTAGATTTTCGGTGTTCAGAGTCAAAGTCTAAAGCATAGAAAGAATTCAGCTGATTTTGTCTCTGATTGATGTTAATAGCTTTCTCCTTTCATGCTTTTATTGAAACATGCTTCATTTAAGTGAAAACTTAAACCATTTAGATTTCATGGATGTGTATAGTATTTCAAAATAAATTTACATTTAATCCCTAAAGATTTCACCTTAAATAATCATTTTTATCAGCTGACTTTTAACAGCATTGCAAAAATATATTTGGTTAGAAGGGTGAGCATGCTTTGCAATTGCTTTATATCATTAACCACTTCTCATTTACCTACTGAAAAAAGTATTCAGAGAATTTGGGGAAAGGGGCCTTTTGTTTCAGGCTTCCTCAGTTCTTTCTTAATTTTCTTTTTGTTTTAATTTTTAGGGACCTCAATATGCTATCAGATTCTGAAAATCCCCAACATCTAGAACTGCATGAACCACCAAAATCTGGTAGGTGAAAGAAATCTGCTTTCAACTGTGAGTAAAAATGTGGACGTACAAATGCTTCTCTACTTACAATAGGGTTATGCCCCACTAAACCCATCAGAAGCTGAAAATATCATTAAGTCAAAAATGCATTTAATACACCTAACTTACCAAACATCATAGCCCAGACTAGCCTACCATAAATGTGCTCAGAACACTTACATTAGCCTACAGTTAGGCAAAATCATCTAAATCAAAGCCTATTTTATAATAAGTTGTTGAATATCTCATGTATTTTATTATGTGTATCACTTTTACACCATTATAAAGTTGAAAAATTGTTCATTCAAACTATCAAAAGTCGAGAACCATCTGTAATTATCGAGGCAGATGTACCTGTAAATGAACATATAGACATAAACATAGATATAGGTAAAAATAAAGCAATAGGCTAATAGATATTTATATATTTCTGTCATTGTAAACAAAATCAAAAGCATTGCAACAATGTTTTTATCATTTTAGGGAAACACATTTGCATGTTAGACCCATTAAAGAAATTTGTATGAAATTCTTGCTATGTGAATACACATTTAATTCATCCCATCAAAGTAATCTAAGGAGCCATTTATTTTTGGTCTTATATAATTTTTAAATGATACTTGATTCCTTTTTACTGTAACTGGGTTTTGGAACACCTACTCCTGAACTTTTTGATTGCCTTTTTATAATAAATGAAAATCAGCATGTAATTTTATAAGTATATTTTGCAGAGATTTAACTCTTTCTTAGTTAACAAATAGACTCTATAAGTTTAAATCAATTGTAAGATTAAAAATATCATTTATTCTCTTGTTTAACTAATATGCATTGACTGCTTCCTATGCCACAGTCAGCATCCTAAGAGTCTGGGTCACTACACTAAATAGAACAGACCAAGGCCTATAGAATCTTTCATACATCCGTAAATGCAAATATACTCTTTGAAATTCCCCCCTGAGAGAAAGATATTTAAGATTTGGAGGAAAAAAATAGCTCGTCATACAAATTAAATTCCTGTGAATAAAATAAAATATTTTATCTTTATACAATTTTCTATATAAAACATTAAAAGCATTTTTCTGAAGATGTAAAAGGAACCAGAGTTTCCCTCTGTAACTCAGAATCCTTTTCCTTGAGCCTTCCAGACTTCTTTAGAAATAGATACATAAAGACACATTATGTTTATTTTTTAAAATTTAGCTTGTCTAATTTTGACTTTGTCATCTGGAACTCAGAAAAGTTCCATGGTATTAAGTACCTATGAAATTGAGGAATGTGTAAAAGCCTTTTATTTTGTTGTAGTCGATAAAGCAAAATCCCCAGGGGTTGATCCTAAGCAACTGGCAGCAGAGCTCCAGAAGGTTTCGCTGCAGCAGTCGCCGCTGGTCCTGTCCTCCGTCGTTGAAAAAGGGTCCCACGTGCATTCAGGTCCTGCATCAGCAGGATCCAGCTCCGTCCCCAGCCCTGGGCAACCAGGGTCACCCTCAGTGAGCAAAAAGAAACACAGCAGCAGCAGCAGCAAGGTGAGACATGCTCCATGTGACCATTGAGTTACTTTCTAGTCCCTTTTTTAGGCTAGGAGATAGGAAATACAGTATCATTTTCTAAGGTGCTCTTATTTTTTCACATTTCCTAATTTTCTACTTAAACAAAAAAATGTTTTCTATTTCTGAATATGTAATTGTTTCATGATATATTAAGATGAAGTATTTCTTACCTTAAAGTATTTTAGCAGTTATTATTATGAGGAACTTGAAAACTATGTCTGATGTTTCTCATTTCCTTGTTACTTTTTCATTCTTCCTGTTGCATAAATCTCAGCCTTTTTGTATATCAAATACTAGCTTTGCATCTTTTTAGAAACACAAGCTATATATTACATTAGATTTTGTAACTTAAAGTTAAAAAGGATACAGATAGAGAGAATTTAGAATAATAACAAGGAAAAAGAGTACTATAGTATTGCCATTTTAAATTTTATCCCTAATTCCATACTAATAATTTTTTTTCCTGATCCAAATCTTTATTTGAAACAACTGTTTCTAACACTGTTATTTCAAAGTTACGGGAGAATTTTTTTAAAACATAGAATTAATTGTTTAACCTTATAAAAGCAGAGGAAAATGTAGACAGTTTATAATTTTTCCCTCAATTTGATTGTTAATAAAGAAACTCTCTTCATGGTCAATAAATATATCGGAAAATTTTTGTTTGGTTAAACATGCGTAAAGGTTTTCCTTTATGTGCTGACATATATGAGAGGGAGAGGTTATTCTTGGTTAAACTGACTTGACTGTAGAATAAAAAGATTGTTTTTCTAAGTATAAAAACACGGCATATGTCACCAAAAATTCCTTCTATTCAGAAGCCAATAAGTAAGGTAGAATGATTTGAATCATTGCCTCATAAAATGACTTACTCCCAACTAAATGTAGCAAGGCTTCATGAACTCTTAATTCAGGGATTCAATTTCAAAGTAAATTTTAACAAAACTATATTTTACAAAATGCAATTATGTGCTAATTATGGAGGATTGCCTCATGGAGGCTCTCTGACTCTTGAATTACAGACTGATGTTTCTTTTCTCAGTATCTCCATGTAGCAGATGATTTCTTTTTCAATATCTCCATGTAGAAAACCTAAAGAAATGGCAAACTCTGCTAACAGTTTCCAAAGCAAGCACATTGTAGTTCTAGAAGTCTGTCATCCGGATATTTTTTATTTCAGCAGTTGACGTCACCATCCTCTCACGAAGAGCACCATTGCCTCTTACTTTCTCTTCCATTCATATCGTTTAATGAGTTCCTGAATTCTAATCTTATGAATTCTAATTTCCTAGTAAGTCTCTAGTAACTTTCTCTCTTCTTTGCACTCACCAATTTCCTTTAGCAAAGCATTACTTTTGTTTCGAGCATTATTTATTGCATTCACAAAGGTAATTCCTCTCACCAGTCTCTCTTCTTCCTAAACTATCCTCCACCTATCTAATCTGTGACACAGTGATTGGATTGGATCATTATCCTGTTTAGAAGGTATCCCCGCTACCTGGATTGCTGGCCCCGCCTCTGTCTAGAACTCCATCCAGCTCATTCTAAAAGGACCTGATCACATGGTTTTCCTTGGGAGATTATCATACTGTTAAAAGATCTTCACAATAGCCTTGCTTCTAAATATGCTATTTATTGTGGTTTCCAACTCATTCCTACTTTCCACAGACATTTTTGGATACCACCTCAGTGTCAAGGGTCACACTAGGTATTCAAAATACAAAGATGGAAAGAATCCTGTCCCTGCAGACTTTGTAAACTAGTGGTTCTAGAAGTGTGCTTCCAGTCCCCCAGCATCAGCATCATCTGGGAACTTGTTAAAAATGCAAATGCTTGATCCCACCCTGGGCTTTCTGAATCAGAAACCCTGGGGATGGCACAAAGCAGCCTGGGTTTCAGTAAGTTCTCTGAGTGAGTGTGAATCCCCCTGAAGTCTGAGAAGTGCTGATCTAATTACAGATGAAGAATGAGATGACAAACTCAATGAAGGTATAATGTTGGAAGACATTAGAAATATAAAGAAAACCCTTAGGAGAGTGAGGTTAGGAAAGCTGGTGCTTCCAAGGTGAAAAAGGGGTCAACATTTCAAGCAGAGTGCAACATGAAAAAGCTCTCATAAATGGAAAATGGCATTCCTGAGACAGGGCTGTGCAAAAGACATGAGGTAAGGAGACAAAGGAGGAGTCTAGATGCTTGTAAATGAGAGGACATTATACACCATGTCTGCCTTTACACCACAATCTGCAGGAAATGAAGAGCCAGGGATAAGCTTTAAACAAAAATAAAAATGAAAATACAGGAAGCCTTTCTCCATGAAGTCTTTCCATATTTTCATCCTTCTCTCAAGTCAGGAGTTACCATTCTTTCCTTATTTCCTCCCTCCAAAGTGTCACATGCTTTATGCACCTCTTAAGACAATTGTATTTTGATTATAGTTACTTGTTTACTTATTTTATCCTCCCAACTGGGCTGCGGGCTCCTTGAGAACCAAGAACCATTTCCTAGTTTCTCTGTAGCCCCCTAAACCCATAATAGAGTGACTTGCCTAGAATAGTAGCAAAATAAATAAATATTGTAAATTAAAACATCAGTGATGCTGGTGTAATAATATGGGTATACGCAACTTGATTTCTTGTAATATGTTAACTTTGGGGGCAATGATTAGAAGATGGAAATAGGTATTGGAGAAAAAACATTAAGGAAATGGTATTAATGGGTTTTAATGATATGTGGTAATTACTCTCTATGGCAAGAATGTGACCTATGTAGTTTTTACAGTATTTTTGCCAAAATAAAAAGTTATAGAGTTATACTGTTCATAACAGCATCTGCTAGCCACATGTGGCAATTGAGCACATGAAATGTGTCTAGTCCTCATTGAGATATGCAGTAAATGTGAATTACAAGACATGTTTTGATAATGTAGTATGAAAAAAAGAATGTAATTTATCTTGTTAATAATTCTATATTGAACAACTGGGATTAAATAAAATATATTATTACACATTAATTTTACAAGCTCATTTATACATTAAATGTGACTACTAGAATATATAAATTACCTATTTAGCTCACATTATATTCCACTGGACAGTGTTGGTATAGAGATTACTTAACTCCTATTAGTAATAATAGCAATAATCAAATCTGAATATTTCTGAAACATACATATATATATGTATATATACTTATACTATATAATACTATATACATATATAGTATTAATTGAAGTGTATAGCCACCACACTCTAACACTCTTGAAGAAAGGAACTATTCATCTTGTTTTGGCATTTATCCTCCATCTTAGCTGGTACAAAGTTTCTCAAAACATTTTTGCTGAATGAATAAATAATTTCATGGTATTTCTTGACCAATTAACATGTAGTATGCATAAAAGGTGATACTTTTATTTGCTCTCTAAATCCTACAATGTTAAAAATTTTATATTGAGAAATTATAGAAACATTAAGTGATAGTTGAAAGCTTACATGTCCCTGAGTCAGGAAATATAATATTCCAAATATCATATGTACTTTAGATAATATAATTCGTTTTAACTCTTTTGTATTTCATTAGGTATGAGACCAAATATTAAATTACAATATATTAATATAATGAAATTTATTAGAAATAAAATATTTAAATTGTATTTAGCATAATTGTACATTTAGACATTTAGAACACTATTAAAATTTTTCTTTTTTTCTTTTTTCTTTTATTTTTTTATTGTTCAAATACAGTTGTCTCCATTTTCCCACCACCACGTTCCCCTGCCCCACCCATCCCCACCTCCCTCCCTCAGTCTTTCCCCACTTTGGCTTTGTCTGTGGGTCTTTTATACATGTCCCTTGATTTGACCCTTTCCCCTTTTCCCTGTTACCCCCCTCCCAACCTCTCATTACTGTCGATCTGTTTTTCCTTTCAATGTTACTGTTTATCTTTTTCTTGTTTGTTTTGTTGATTAGGTCCCACTTATAGGTGAGATCATACGGTATTTGTCTTTCACCCCCTGGCTTATTTTACTTGGCATAAAAATTTTAAATGATTATTCATAATTATTAATCAATTAATAATACACTAATTTAAATGATTGTTTCTGAATAAATGTAAGTAAACTATGAATTTAAATTAGTAAATACATATTAAGTTTATATAAGCACTGTATATAAGACTTTTTAAAATTATTTTGTTTAAACTAATTTAATATAAATTTTTGACGTCAGAATGTTTATTTTGCTGCCTCGAACTGTTTTGTCTCTGAAGTTCTAACCAAACTTTATCTTTAAAGTCTGAATAATTTCTTTCAAGTCATGGTATAAATAAGTAATTCAATTAAAGTGCTTATTACTTTTACATGTTCTTATGATATGTCTTTGCATTCACAAACTTTGCTGGTCATGGTACACTTAACATTCTCTGTAATTTTTCCGTGGTGCTTATATGCCCCCAAAATACCTAAAATTGTTTTATTTATTAAGTAGTTAGGGCTAAATAATTTAATCAGTGTTCATGTCCTAACATCTTAGTAACCATTAACAAAAAACACATGTGCAGTAAAAGAAAAGTATGTATTCATTTCATTGTTAATAACTAAAATTACATATCGGTGGCATATGTGTACCTGATAGGCAATGCACAACTATTCAAACTATGGAATCACATTGGACATTAATACTCTCATTTCCTATTCTAGGCTGATCTTGCTTATTTTCTTTCGGTACACTTTTTATCACCAAAATCATCAAAAACCAGTCTCACAAAGATATGGCATCACTGGATAAAATGTAGTTGGCTCTAATCCTGACATGTAACTACCTGCAGTTGGTAGTTTGCCTGGTGTCCAGCAGATATAGCTCTTTCTCCTTCTCTAATTTAAAATATCCCTCTGTGTCCTTAACGAGTTCCCTGCCATACCCCCAAGCAACTAAAAATGGTCCATAAGTTTATCCTCTGTGTAAATGTAATTAGGTTTGCATGATCTTGCCAAATAAGTATGACTTAAAAAAAAATTAAAGCAAAATAGATTACACACAATCACACTTTGCTTTTTCTTTTGTCTTTTCACTTTTTATCTCAGCTATTCCCCAACTTTCCTCATTGAGATGCAAAGATCTGGTTTTAGAAATCTCTCCGTCTTTAACTGAGATACAGTAGCTTCAAGAACTTGTGTGGTCCTTTTCTAGATTCAGTTTTCTTTCCTTAAAATTTAAATAGTAAAAAAAGTATTAAACAAAATTGTTCAATAACTAAAATTTCATTCTTTGAGGCCAGAGCATGGATTGTGTTAATAAATGACCATTCTTATAAACAAACTGAACCAATAAATGATATATGGCATAGAAAATTTAAGACATATCCCATAACTTTGCCAATGATCACATTAGCTTTTTTCCTCCATTTCACAGAACAAGGCCTGGAATGATGCTGTCTTCTTTTGGTTGCTCTTGTTTCTCAGATAAAAATCTAAAGGAAAAAGGTGGCAGAACAAGTATATCAAGGATCTTTTCTTTTCCAGTTAATTATTAAAACAAGACCTATATATGTACCTGTAGAGAGACTAGGGCCTTACCTGTAGTAAGCTGGCCTCCATGTCAGTAAATATCTCCCTATATTGTGCCACACTGCCTGAAATTCTGCTGTTCGATCTGGGTCAAAGTATCATTTCTCCTTTTCTACAAATATCCCATTAAAATGGAACAACTCAGCAATCAGTCATTTATGCAGCATTGTGCATCAGTTTATCAGATCACTTTCCTGTTTTTAAGGCTTTACTAACATCAGGGACTTATTAAGGAAATGAGAACTTAAATAGAATGGGATGGAATTATAACTGAGTGTGAGATATCAGAAAACGATTGCCTGGGTGCTTCAGTCTAGAAGGGAACAGGGAGGAGTTGAACACCCAACAAAGGAGCGAAAGGATGGACTTTCGTAACTTCTGTCTCCTAGGCAGCCATTGTATAAAAACAGTATCTTTTTTTATTCCTTTCTAGATCTTTAAATCCTGTAAACACTTAAATGAAGTACTTTAAACCAAAAGAGTTTATTTCCTTCAGTAATTGAAAATATATTACACAGGTATAAAATGATAGCTTCAAAACAAGCTTAACAAAATGAAAAGTAGATTTATATACCTATAAAATTAAATATGTGTTGAGAAGTATAAGCAGACGGCATAATCTGAAGCAGACAAATGGGTGAAATATATTTTCCAGGCACTGCGCTCTGACCCAATAGAAATTAATTTCAGAAGGAAGTTGAAATGGTAGATTCTATGAAGGGTTTGTCCATTATTATAATGTATGTTTTTAATGTTACAGCCTACTGATGCAACAAAGGTTGTCTCCCATCCAATTACAGGGGAAATTCAGGTATGGAAGATTTTTTTGTTTTTAAATCATTATCATACCACCTTTTTTTAGCTGTTTTTCCCCTCTGTTCTATTGAAGTTGTAAACACTGTTAGAACCTTTATAATGCATACTGATCTATAAAGGAAAAAATACAATTTCATAGAATAGTCTTTTAATATAAATATATGTTTTATGAAATCTAATTATATCAATGGAATTCTATACCTTGAAATCTGCCTGGTACCTTAGCAGTATTAACACATTTTATGCCTCAGGTATTTTATATTTGTTGAATGTGTTTCAGACATGACAGATTTTCCTGGAAATTTGAAGTGCCCTTTTCAAGTTTCCTGAGTCCAATGCTGTCCTCATTTCTTTTCCCAATTAACAACTGTTAGATAATTGTTAAACAAGTCTTGTAGAACCATGTTTCTTACTGGAGGTCATAACCAATTTTTAATTTATAAGTCAGTTTAGTAGATTTTGACCAGGAAAATAGAAGAAAAGTATTGTAAATCACTAATTTTTAGTTCTCTATATGCATGTTCCTGTGCATAATATATTTTAACATGTATTCCCTACTATGAGTCATAGTAAAAAATCTTAGAAAAAACTGTTTCACATGGTACCAAATTGTAATTTGGGGAAGATAAGAAATGTCACATAGAAAGAATTTACACAATATAAAATAACTTTGAAAATAGTAAGTTTCAGTAAAGGGAATGAGAACAGTAAGTCTTAGCTATGTCTCCGACACCTTCTAGAGGAAATTTTCATGAAAGACTTCACAAAGGATAACGGTGATTTCAACTAATTTGAGGATAAGCAGAGAGAAAGGGGTCTATGTTCCTGGGAGAAGAAATGGTACAAGGAAAGGTTCTGCTGCCAGAGTAATGAAATGAAAAAGGTCAGGTTGCTGTCCTGAAATGCCCCTGTAGAGATCATTTAAGACTAAATTAAAAAGAACCTTGGCCCTGGCCAGGGAGCCCAGTTGGTTATAGTATTGTCCTGAAGGATATGCCAAAGTCATGGGTTCAATCTCAGGTCAGGGCGCATACAAGATGCAACAAGGGAATGCATAAATAAGTGGAACAAAAAAATTGAGGTCTCTCTCTCTTTCTCTCCCCCCCTGTCTCAACTCAATAAAAAAATTTTTAAAGACCCTTGAACATAGCTGAGGAGGGGTTAGCCTGTAAATAACAGGGTGATCAATAAACATTTTAGCATAAGGAAGAGACTATAGGAAAAGACTAAGGACTGTGTAATGAAAAGTCATACAGCAGTGGCATACAGGAAATATTATAAAGGGGTGGACACACAAAGTAATCAATTAAATGATTGCCTAGGCACACACTGATTAAAGGAAAAGTGGAGTCTGACAGTGGAAATAGAAAAAGCACTGAGAGTGGGCACCTTTCTAAGAAGGATCGAACAGGCTGGAGCCTGAATACGTATGGACTCCAGATCTTGCAGACTCACTTCTATTTCCCAATTCTAGAAAGCCATACTCTGATCCTTCCTTTCACAAAAAACAAACAAACAAACAAAAAGAAAGCTAGCTTTTCTGATTTAAAATATCTTTCTCTCTCTCATTTTTTAAAACACTTCTTGCCCATGGACTAATATTTCCGTGGTTTTTTGTTTGTTTACTCTTATTTTCCTTTCCCTTGAGTAGTAATGTTTAATTCTATAGTGTCAATTTACACTAATGACATTCCTCCTTAACTCTTCAGATATTTTCCCTTTTACTTTAATTTCCCTATGACATTGACTTTATTTTGTTTTTTAAGCAAAACTCCATTCTAAATAAACCCTTATGGAGACACCCAAGCAATGAATCTGCCAGCACTGAGTAACTCTGGCTGAGGATTCCTGTGGAATCTCACTCTCTCCTGGAAGTAACCTCTGAATAACTCTAAGTATTGTCTAAGGCCCTACAAGAGTAAATTTGGGAAAGCACTATCTTAGGGAAGCCTGTGAGTTTTCATTTCAATAATAAATGGTTTTGAAAAAAATACAGTTTTAGTGTTTCATCACTTAAAAGTGGCTAGCAGAGGAAGGAGAAAAGAGGGAAGAATTTCTCCTTAAAAATTTGGAAGCTGTTCTCAATCTTAGTGAAACTCAATTCACTTAGTGAAACTCAATTCACTTAAATGATACACAATTCACTTAGTGATACACAATTATTATAATTTCATAATAATTGTGTATTTCAGCACCCGTTATAGCACACAGTCACTGCAGTTCTAAACTCCCTGTTTCTCCTCTTCTTCACAGCACTTTATGTTTCACATTGTTTTCATGATGGTCAGCCTCTTGGCTTTTCTGTATTAAGAAAAGCAATTGAAGATTCTTTTTTTGCTACACAATATACCAGATCAAAATAATGCTAAAATTAAGAATTATTTTAATGATGAAATTTTAGATATTGTTTGACTCATCTAAATTATCTTATTTTCAACATAACCATAGTATGTCTTGTATTATTATAAAAATATGTTAGCATTTTTATTTTTGGATTTTCCCCTTTGAAATACAAATGTTTTCCTTTTTGTTAATTAATAAAAACAGCACCAAAAAGAATTAAGTCTTATTCTAATGCCAAAAGACCCTTCCAATTTCTAAGGAGAAAAATTAGTTAATTCAATTATTTTGAATTATGCACGCTTCTCAAATATTTATTAAAAATATAAATCTTTTACTATTCAATGACAATTTTGCAACAGCTATTAAGCATCTATAGACAATGCCTCTTCTTCCCTCTTTAGCTTCTGAAATTAAAGAACAAGATTTCATTCTCTTAATCTCTTACGCTACTAGAAAAGCAGTCTGAGCAGAAAGGAAAGCTGTTTAATATCACATAATATAATATAGAAAGAGAAATTTTATACATTCTAAAATATTGTTCCATTTCAGTAGGCAAAATGCAAAAGGCATTTTCTATTAAAATTATCTAATTTATTTTCAAAATCCTGAAAATTGTATTTATGAATGTTAAAGATTTATTATTTTACTAAGAGTAAATATTTAGTTTTAAAGTGCAACAAGAGTTCACTGTAGGATTTTTCTTCTAAATGAATTTTAGACAGGCCAGGGCTTTCACAGAAGAAAAAAATGAATGACACTTTTCTTAGGAATTACATGTGTTTGGCAATTTCCAATTAAATTAGACACCTCCTGGTCTGTTAGTTTCAAATAAAATGGAAATGAGGGTTGATGCTTCTTATGAGAAAAAAATACTTACGAAATATTGAATGATAATGTATTATATGTTTTTAAAAGAAAAAATATTCACCAGATATATTCCTGTTTCTTCAAGCTTCAAATCAACTATGATCTTGGAAATCTCATAATACATATTCTCCAAGCAAGAAACCTAGTCCCTCGAGACAACAATGGTTATTCTGACCCCTTTGTTAAAGTGTACCTTCTTCCAGGGCGAGGGTAAGTAAAGAAGCAATGTCCTCTAAGTATTACATCCCCTGATTTAAAAAATAGTGGGCCCTGGCTGAGTTGCTAAACTGGTTAACCCAGCCCAGCCCAGTATGCCAGTGTTGTGGGTTTGATCCCCAATCAGGACACATATAAGAAACAACTAAAGATACATAAATAAGTGGAGCAGCAAATCAGTGTGTCTCTCTTTCTCCCTCTCCCTTTCTCTCTCTCTCTCTCTAAATCAATAAATTTTTAAAAATAAAAATAAAATGAATTAAAATAGTGATATAATGTCTCTTCTAGTCTCTAAGTTCAACAAGTTTAATATCATTTCTGTAATTTTATCCACTTGTCATATTTCTAAATAGTATATAAGGTAGAATTAAAATTTATAATTAAGCCTTAAAGGGTTCTAGGAGAACCACTGATCATAATAAAACCTGTCTCAATGAGAGGGAATACCTCAGTATTTGACTCTGGAAACCACTCTTGCTATGATCAGTCAGATTGTGAAATCATTTAAGAAGTTCTTTGTGGGAGATTTAAAAGAAATACCTTACATTCCCAAATTTACTTGAGAAACCAATGTTCAAGGACTCATAAGTTAGTATTTTATTATATAAGACACATGTATTATCCATTATGTTAGATGTTCATTAAGTGATTTGTTGATGTATCTTTATTTATATGCATATTTCAAATCAGGGTTTTAAAAACACTTAAAAATTTTAAAAAACAAGAGTAATAATTGAAATGTTGACTTTGTTAAGTAAATGATAATTATCCCTGGATCTCTTGTGTAGTATATAGACTGTTCTTATAAAGCAAGCGCTCTTTGGAGATATTTAATTTTCACATAATAAATGCAAATTGCTATGTTCTAGTACATAAATCAGTACTCAAGGATGGTTTCAAAACAATGATATGACCCCAACAAATTGTTATTCCTTATGTGAACAATTTATATTACAAAAAGTAGCATAATGGAACCATAAATAATTAACAAAAATTTTGGACTGGAAACTGAAAACTCTGGTTTTATTTATGTTCATTTTTTATTTAATTTGAGAAGTGACATGAAAAAAATATTATCTTTTACTTGGAAGTTTTCAATTATTGGACACAGTGGAGAGAATAGTATAATGACCAGCATGTACCCATAACTCAGCTTCAACAAGGATCACTTCCTAGTCAATCATGGTTCGTTTTGCCCTCATACACTCTTCCCATATAGATTATTTTAAGTAGATGTCAACTATTGTGACTTTTCCCACAAATATTTTAGTATATGTTTTGAAAAGATAACTCATTTCAAAAATAATCATAATACCACATATAATCATAATTTTTCAATGTATAAATCCTTAACTTCCCCATTGCCTTCCTAGTTAGTTGGATGATCTAATTAATATTTATATAAAATTGTACTCATTAATAGCATAATATATATTCTTTTCAATACACATTCTTAGAACATTCACCAAGATAAACTATGGTCTGGGCCATAAAACAAACCTTAACAAGTTTAAAAACATTGAAATCATACAAAAGTGTGTTTATGACTGTAGCTGGTTTGTTTGTACGGGATCCAAATTAGAGTTATCCATTGCATCTGGATGTGCTATGTACTAATTGTATTGCCACAGGCAGATCACCAGTTTTATGAATTCAGTTTCCTTATTGATATTGAGAGAGCCAAGGTAGGCAGAGCCATAATTTTTAGTTTGTCAGGTGAATCAAATTAGATAACATTCAGAAAATAATTTGGAAAGTGCCAGGTGCTATATCAAATTCAGTATACATCCTTTCATTTTACCCTACCTAATATTTTAATTTAGAAACTGGAATTGCTGGTATTGTTGTTCTAGTTTTAATTTATTGATTTAACGTATAGCAACCACCAACTAGCCATATAGTGCAAGAAAAGGGAGTTGTTATTTTATGTTAATTCATTTATATTTTTATATTAGTTATAACTGTAATTTGGCTACATGGGTATAGCAACAAAGATAACTTCATTCTGCCTTTGATTTGAGTCATTAGAGCTTCAGTGTTGTTTAATCACAGTATAGTGGGATAAGAATAAATCTATGCCCAGGATATCTCTCTAATTAACATTTGCTAATGAATTAAAATAAAACCCTGTCTTTTATTTTTAATTTTTAATACTGAGAGTATCCCCTTTATAACAATATGAAAGTTTCTGTCTTGTATTTATTGCAGGAATATGTTTTAATTAGACTATTACAAACTTTAATAACCAGAAAGGGCAGGCAAGTAACAAAAGTATGTCAGTCCATTCTGGTGAAGCAGGGTCACGTGGGAATGATAATGAAATGAAGAATGAGGTTCCCACCTAAAGCCAACCATCCTCATGCAATTTGTCAAATGAAACATTCCTGCTTGGTGGGACTAGGCCCAGAGGTGGTAATATGCTACTCCTATTCAATTCCTAGCCTTTTATTAGGTTATTCCTCATTACTTCAATGGTCAAGGCCTTGGGGTTTATTACACGTGTGAGATATTATTTTCACTTTGGTTCTAAGATTATTCTCTGCCTCATGTTATTTGTATGTTATAGTATAGCTCCTCTAATTATTATTCTCGTATTTTCTTCTTTATTTCTGTTCCTAACTTTTTTCTTCCTGTCTTTCTTAATTCCTGTTGTATCCTATATTTGCACTCTTGGAATCAATGCAGTCAAGTCATGGTTGTCCAGAATGCAAGGTAGAGTTGGTTCTCTTTCAGTGTTAAGCTTTGCTGTGCTGTCTAGAGTCATATTTTTTGCATTTCTGTGTACATACACCTGCAGTTCAACTTGGGCTGTAATTTTTATTTTTCTCCATGTTGGTCTCTGCTGAGTGAGGCTTAATAACAGATTGTTCCAAGCACAACGTTACTAAATAGTTTTAGCAGATGTGTGCAACAGAACCTAGAAAACTAAGAAATATTAAAAACATAGAAGAGTGTTAATAAGAAAATATCACCCTTAAATTAGACATAACTAAATATTTGTTCATAATTTTTACACTAAAATTAATTTAGCTTCTCATGTGATAATCACGCCTTAAGTCCTCCTGAGTTTTCTATTACAAATAAAAAAATCTAGAGTCATTACTGAAAAGGAATTAACTGATCTAGATACCTAGTACTTCGTGTGTATCTCATCTTAAAGACAATAAATGCCTGGTTTTATCCCTCACTTAGACCTTGATATTGAAACATTTCCATGCCCTTATACCTTCTGCACCACAAAATTATTGCTGTGCAATAAAGGAAGCCATAATCTGCCTATTCTAATGTAACAGCAACAACCTGTGAACATCCTTTGTTTGCCAGTAGTAGGAAACTGTTTTCTCATAGAGCTCATTACATGTTGCATCATTACATTGTCAGCTAAGGCCTCAATACATAGCCAAAAGCTTTCTTTTGCACATCTCATTGCATTACAAATTAAATGTGTTATTTAGTTGGGGAGGAGAATTTTGTACCATCTGTAGCAATAGGGTGATGAGAATTTCAGTCTCATCCAGAGTATTAATGGTACTGGATTTGTTTTTGTCAGTGACATTAAAGTTTAACATTTTTTCTAATCCTTCCAAGCTGTGCCCAAAAGAGGCTGTTTCTGATTCTTAAAGGCATAAATAATTAAATATTTTAAAGAATTGAATCGTCACCACAGCCTTCCTAGCGCCTAGAAACTTTTTGTTTCCGTGCATCTAGATAATTATGGCAAAGAGTAAAATGTGCTAACTGTGGAAGGTTGCTTGTTGTGACGGGCTCTCTCATCTCAGGATCCCATCCTGGCCTCTCAGACTGACACGCAAAATTAGTTGTTTCAAAGAGACAGTGTCATTTTAGAACAGACATTATCGATCACTTTAATCAGATCCTTCTTATCTTCCATCCAGAGAAACTGGGGACACATTGTCAGAATGACAGTGGTTGTATATATTTAACTTAGAAGAGAATATGTTTTGTAAGTGTAAATAATGATTGAAATAGCCTAGGTTGTGTTAGATTACAATTTAGAAGATCTAGAAATCACTTTCTCATCATACCTTTCATCTAGGAGTTACTTTAATCACCTCTGAGAGCTGTCAATGTGGGAAGGAATTATAATGACAATGTAATGACATTGTAAATTAAGCTGAAGAGCCAGTGAGTCAAGTCTTTAAAAAACTGGCTTTGAATTTCAGCTCTGACAAGTTGTAAGGTTTCTCCAGAACTATTTCCTTTCCTGCTAGAGAGGATTTACAATAGCCTCCCTCCCAGGCCTTTTGTGAAACATGTAGAGTAATACACCAAAAGTAAGAAGCATATTGTATGGTACTTAATAAGCTCTCAATAAATGACAGTTGCTATTATGACTAATAATATGTATAATAAACTTGATGTAACCAATGGTCAATTATCTCTGAAAAAAAGAGATGCAGAATGTTTAGGCTACTAAATTAAACCAATTTTTAAGAGCACTATATAGAAAACACAATATCTTTCTTTTCTTCAGTGATAAAGTGCAATACATCCATCATTCTTAAAGTTTAAAAATATATATATCCAGTTAACCAATAAACATTTCACTGGTCCAGCTTTCTTGTCCTCTTTTATTTTCTCTTTCCACCCTCTGATCAATACACTCATAAGCTCAGAAAGCCCAAATGTCAGCCAAATAAACTGAATGACAGGAAAGAGCCGGAAGAGTCTGTGAACTCAATACTTGTCCCTGGGTGACTGAGAAATAGCAATAAGGATATCTGAAAGATCTTGTTCTGGTTTTCTCTCATTACACTGTTGTACAAATTTTTTTTGTTCAACAAAAAGTACAGATTTTTTCCCAGTACTGAGATTCTCGTATGATTGAAGCTGATTTTTAGTTATCATGATACCTGCATACCCAGTTCCTGGCTGGACTTTCTCTAAACACCCTTGTTAGCATAAGCAATTTCCTACATGACCTGTGTAAAGCTGATACAGGTGTTGTAGTGTTTATTTACAATTAGAGGGCCAAAAATTGTTGTATTTCAGTAAATTTTAAAGGGAAAAAAGTAGCATAATATTTTAGGGTGCATCCAATATACATTTATTTAGCCCATACTGCCCCAGACACTATGCTAGGTGCTGGGATTAGGGTTGATGAACACAGCCATTATCTCTGACCTCAGGAAACACAGATGGTCCCTAACTAAACACATTATTGCACAAGAAAACAGAGTTTATAAAATGGGATATGCTCTGTACATCTTTTTAAATTAAAAGAAGAGTAATTTTGAAAAATGTTATATACTGTATTTCTTTATGGGATGTATATTTGCATTAAAGGAATGTATGTATATATTTCCAGTAAAGGAAAACCAAATAAATTTTTAAATGAGGACCTTAGTTTAGATAATTTTATAATATTTAAATACAAAGAATCCATCATATTCCATTCTTCATTCTCAGTATTTCTTTTGAAATTAAAAAGAGGAACTCAGAGCTGCTTTTTCAGCTAGATTAAGGTAGAGTAATTTATTTTAAATATCTTTTTCTGCCTATCTTAAAAGCATATCTCCTTATGATGAACTGACTGGCCAATAATAAAAAGTAAAAGCAAAAAGGAATTAGTTAAAACTTCACAAGGATGAATGTTCAGGGTTTTTTTAAAATATAAACACCATGTCCCACATTGATAAATTGACTTTTTATTTTCAGTCCTTATTAGAATACTTCTCTGACTGTTAAATGCGGCCTAACTTTCCTAATAAAATACTATATAATATTCCCATAAAGGAGTTTAATGTGTTTACCAGACAAGGAAGGAAAAAAGAAAATGAGCTCCCCTATTTTCTCAACCTGAATTTATGCTCACATTTAATACCCCTGCTTATCTGGACATCTTCAATTTGTAAATCCACAGAATTGTGGAATTTTCTATTGTGGAATGTGGCAACACAGCCCATTGAGATCATGCTCAAATTGGTCAGCACATGACAATTATTTTTTTTAAAAACCTGCTAGTAAAGGAATGTTTTTTTTCCTGGCCATCTCTGCGTATCAGGAAATTCAATTGCAAAAAGACTGCAGAGGAACTCATTGACATTTACACAGGACGACCGTGGATGGGGGGAGGAGGCTCAGGAATAAGGTGTGTTTGCCTCCATTAATCTGAAAGGCAGTGGTTACCTTGAGTCTGGAGGGAATTGGAAAATCAAACTCATTAATAAGATTAACATACTCTATTAAACGAACATCTAAATTCTTTCCCAAAAAATTTCAGTTGTTTGAGTGTATCTGGGAAAAAAATAAATATTTATAGTAATTATCCTTAATTCTATAACATTCTTAGGATATACCATGCAGAATTTCCCCGAGCAACTCTGAGTTTTACCTAATTGTTTCATGATATTTTATATGTACACACATAGGTAATTTATATTCTCTATATGCAATGTATATAATTAAATAGAAAATATGTATATTTAAATTGGTATAAAGAACTTTATAAGGGAGAGAAGACAAAGTAGACACTTAAGCTAATGAAGCCTACAATTAAGAAAATTGATGGCATATTCACATTCTACGATGAGCCTAATCAATTGAGTTCATATCACATAGGTTTAAGAGCAGCCAGTTTCCCTATGTTTGAATCATGGTCCTACCAATTAATAATGATGCAATCTTCTTAACATGCCTTAACTTCTTGGAGCTTTGGTTTTTCTTAATCTATAAAGTAGAACAATAAATGATACCTGTCTCACAGAATTGCTGTTAGGATAAAATGAGTTAACACATTAAAAGCATTTAGAACTCTGCCTGGGAAAAAAGTAAAAATTTAATAAATGTTAGCTGTCTTTATTTTGATTTGCTTACTATATAAAGTGATTTTCATGCATGAATCATATTTATAATGGTATATCAATACCATTATGTATATATAGATGGGAAATCACAGTTCCTTCTACAGAGTTAGCATTTCAGTAGTTTTTGACTGCCAAATCTGTTAGTAAAAAATATGACTAAAATACATATGTGAAAAGTTATACCAATTATTCATATTTATAGATTAAGAAAAGATGGTAACTAATAAATCCTTTTGAACACATTTCAATAATGCAGACTAATTTTATATATAGACATTTAGAATTTTAGTGAAAGTACATGAATTTGTATTTCACATTAATTTGCATTTTGTTATCAAATTACTCATTTAATTTTTCAGAATTTGAGATAACAATTTTACTACTATTCACTATGAGTCTTCTTTTTAATATGTTTTCCCATGATCTCATCAACTTGATATCAAAGTCTGAAACAGCAACTTTAAAACTCATAGTATCATGTTTTTGTTTAAGCATACCTGCCTAGAAGAATAGCCATAAATTATAAAGTAACAACAAAAGCAGAAACATAAAATATAAAGGGATACAGTATACCATATTAATTTTAATTTTTATTATAAAATATTTTAAACTTACTGAAAATTATAGAAAATACTCTAATACCTGTGTTATTGCTATACAGTTTTACCAACTCTTAACATTTTCTTTTTAATAAAAAATATTTCACAGGTACTCCTTAAGCCCTCTGTAGCCATTTTCTGTCTACCTGAGATAACCACTAAATAGAATTTAATATCTATAATTCCTAAGTGACTTATGAAATTAATGTTTGTTGTACATATATACATGTGTGAATAAATAATTTATAGTATTATTCCACATGATTTTAAATTTAAATTATAACTTAGAGTTATCCTTCTGCAAATTTTTGCTCGATAACTTTTGAGGATACATCTATTTTGATATATGAATACACATTTTACTCATTTTAATTTCTGCTTATTATTTCATTGAATGATTATACCTTAATGTATTTATTTACTCAGTAACTTATTAATGTACTATTAGAAACAAGTTATGGTGAATGTTCTTGAACAAAATTCCTTGTGCATGGTTGAGAGAATTTCTCTACAGTAGAAGTGGAATATATCAAAGTGGAATTTTTCTGGGTGTCTGGGTATATAAATTGAAACTTTACTAGATATTGACAAATTTATCTAAAATGTGTATGTACAAACTTATACTCTGTCTACAATCTATGAAAGTGCCTGTTTCTTTAAATCAGTGCATAAACATTTCCACAAAATTCTTGCAATGACGAAATTGTCAAATCCTGTTCTTATTTTTGCACACTCACACTGAGTTGGTTAAAAGTCAGAAGAGCATTGCTTTATTTCTTAAATTGGATTCAGTTCACAAGGACTGAAAGGTGAAGTCTTAAGAGACATAAGTTTAGTGGTTCTCAATCTTGTCTACACATTAGGTTTACCCAGGAGATTAAAAAAATTCTGATGCTCAAGTCTCACCACAGACCTTTAAAGCAGATCCCCTTGGGGTGCATAGAGGGAGGTGTCAGTGTGGTGCTGGTCGCCCTTGGAATGCAGATGCCTAAGAGATTCCAGGATGTTATCAGTGTTCAGAATTACTGCCCTTGCATACGGCCAAAAAAAAGATAAAATTTGGTCATGGACCGAGCGTCATTCTCAGTAGTGTTATCTAGAATGGATAGGTACATTAAGATCTGGGGAATAATAGTATGCATTCCAGCATATGGCAATGCTTGCAATCAGGAATGTAGCAAGAGATAGTCTGCTCATAGCTGAGAACAGAGCAACAGGTCAAGGGTCAGGATCCAGTCCCTTAGAGACAGGTAGCTTACGAAGTCCAGGCTCATGAAAGGATCTCAGAGAAGAAGATGGGTTTTCAGGATTCTGATGCCCACAGGACCTGAGTCATAAGCTTAGGCAGAAAATGCAGAGAAAGGTGGGATTAGAGAAGAGCCTTGTATGGTTGGGCACCGTTGGCTCATAGCAGATAGCAATAATTCCAGCCACATCAACTGGTTGATGCCAGCCACAGATGCCCTGTCAGACTTAATTAGGATAAGTTTCAGAAAGAAGTTATTTTTAAACTTGAAGAATATAAGCTTCTAACTCTGCTCATAGTGCTCGTCAGTGGAAAGTCAAGGATAAACTCAAATTCCCCAAGTTGCAATGAATGAGAAAAAAATTTGGTTCATCATTTGTAATATAAGCTATTGACATAAACCAAGAATTTATATCTAATTAAAATTGTTTTATAACTAGATTAAATATCTTCTTTACTAAGACTGTCAGAATATATTTGAAATATAATTTAATAAATGTTCATTTTTCATCCTTCCCTCACTCAAAATAATTATTACAATTTTTATAGAAAAATGAATTTAAAAAACCACTTGGCTTGGTGACATGATTAGATGCAAAAACTATTGGAAAGTTAAATACTGAATTATTATTTAGGAGGCAAGAACTTACTGATCTTACCATATGGTTCATGTAATTATCTTCTTCATTCAGGAAAGAGTAAATTTCTAAAATTGTAGTATCAATAGAAAACCTGAAACCATTTTTTTATTCAGAACAACTACTCTAGGGCAAATAAACCTAAAGGCATCCAACATATTTTAAAGTTTTCATTGTGCATGTAACTTAAAATAAATTTTAAGACATGAGGATGATGAGATGATTGCATAGTGATTCAAAACAAAACATCATCTTGAAATATCCGCATGCGCTTCAGGTTGACTATGAATCATCAGTTTAGGTGAATAGTCAAGGTAACTCTTTCTTTTCTTCCAATTCAGTGCTGAGTACAAGAGAAGGACTAAATATGTTCAGAAAAGTCTTAATCCTGAGTGGAATCAAACAGTAATTTATAAAAGTATCTCCATGGAACAGGTATGCAATGATTATTTTCTATGTGACAGATTTAGGCTGAAATAAGAATAGTAATGACAAAATTATCAAAGGACTGTGATCTTAAATTCAGAGAGAAAAGATAACAATTAGAACAGGAAGAAGATATCCAGAAGAAACAATTTACAGATGAGTTGTCTTGCGAAATGAGGTTTATTATTTGCCCTCTGGAAGATTTCTAATTTGACTATGAAGGTGAAGCTGGATATAAACTGTAATACAGGTTTTTGAATTTAAAGAAAGTTAAATTTACCTGCAGAAATAAGACAATGCTACTATGTTTTCTGGCAATTTACAGAAACAAAAAAGTCTCTTAATTCAAATACTTCATCTAAATAGCCTAGACAGTTTTGCAGCTATGAATCCCATGTATTTAAACAGTATTTATAGATTATAATTTCTACTTTTAAGGATCAGGGTAGATTAACTGGGAATTAGTAAAATTTATAAAATAGTGAGTCTTATGATATTCCACTAAGTTAGACTACAAAATCATTGATGTTTTACATAATATTAAATGTAAGCCCACATAGTTTTAGAAAATATTTAAAGTATTTTTATGTAAAGGGAAAGATCTCAAGGAAGTAAAAATAGATGAGTCTATAATATGAGTGTTATGAAAATTTATGATGAGAAATGGTGTGAATGACCTTTTGATTTGAACTATAGCTCAAGAAGAAAACACTGGAGGTGACAGTGTGGGACTATGATAGATTTTCTTCCAATGACTTTCTTGGTGAGGTGAGCCTTGGATTTCTTTTACCTGATTTGCTTTTGTAGTAAACTACCAATTAAAGCTTGATGCAAAACATATTTCTTAAGTTTATAAGATTAAACTTATAAACTTAAGTTTATAAATCCTTTTGGTTAAAATCCTTTGGTGGAAAGAATTTATTTTTCATTACTCTTTTGAGTAAATGAATAACAAGTCAATAAATGGTTTTTACTTTGCCACTTGATGTACTTACTAATTTGCAAGATTTTTTTTACTCATTTGCTTTACTGCACAATATACACACAATAGTCTAAGAATAACAATACAAATACCACCATGAACATTATGATTTAAACATTAAATATGTGTTTAAAAATGTTTGCAGTTCTTTTTGTCCTTAGGATATATCCCTCTAGGAATGGATGTAGAGTCAAATTGCTGTGTGTCAGAATTGCACGGAATAATCTCTGTGTGGTTATGCTACCAAGTACAGAGTTAGGTTCACATACTATATTTTGTTTTTGATTTCTAAGGGGTTGCTTTTTCCAAATTTTTAATTGAATTTATTGGGGTGACATTGATTAATAAAGTTATGTATTAATTTTTTTGATAGAAAGATAAATGACCATGCTTTGAATTCAAATGATTATGTTAAAGATTTAAGATAAATTTATTATATTATAAAATGAACTGGACTATTTTAAAAGTCATTGTCAGGTTATTTAATTGCTCGTTCTCATTTTACTTTTTTCAAGTATCCAGAGTAAAATCTCTCAAAATATTTTAAGAAGCAAACTGGAAGAGAAAACAATACAAATAGTTTTATATAAATTCACATAGAATTTAACCTAAACATGAAATTTGGTAAAGTAGGCCTGATCCTGTGATTTTTTTTTATCTCTCATATTTCAAAAATATACATTTGGTGTTGTGATCTTTGCTTAGAGCAGAAGTTATAAATTATTGTTAAAAATCATCTTCAAAAAGATATAACACCTAGAAAGTATGATGTCCTTTTGACAGGGACAACAGAACACATTTGTGTAGTCTAGGTGACATGAGGCCTTGTTTGATTATTAGACTCGGTGCCTTGCTTTTCCATCAAAATGGACCATTTGACCTTCACCTGCCAGGCTCCTTGCTGCTGCAGCACTTGGACTAATCTCGATCTAAGACAGGACTACCTTAAGATACAGAGTTATATCTGACTTAATGCCCTGTTTCAAAAAACTGTCTTAATTAAGTCCTTATAATTTATATATTTATGTGAACCTAGAACATCTTCATTGTGCTGGTTTTCACTTTTTATATCTCATTAAATCTAAGATGCCAGCAACTGTAAAATGTACCATTATTGAGGAAACACTAAGAAAGAAAAAATACTACCAATTAAGCCATGACACAGGGCTTTCTTGTCATAAACTATTAGTTATATCCCTATTTCAGATGTAAACTAAAGTATGTTTTAAAATAGAGGAAATGAATTAGTAATTGTAGATTTTTCATTCTTTTTTTATTTTGACCCTCATAACTAAAATCAAACAATCTTCAAAACTGCTAGCCAGGCTGAGGTCTAGAATGTTTCCCTTTAACAAACCTTTATTTCATAAGGAGATTGACTTTTCACTCTAGCTTTTTACATGGTCACGAAAAAATTCCATTAGTAGTACAAGATTGTATGTAGTTCAGTTTAACCAAACATTCATTAAGTGCCTAGTACGCACCAGTTGTTACGCCCAATGTTATGGGTGAAGAAATATGAGGAAGACAACCTCACTAACCTTGGGTTTATATCCTTGAAAAAATTTCAAACCGCAGGAGGAAAATAATGAATTTATTATAGCTTAATTTATACATTTTATTGACTTACTGTACTTTTTTTCAGGTATTGATTGATTTATCTAGCACATCTCACCTCGATAACACCCCTAGGTGGTATCCTCTCAAAGAACAGACAGAAAGTATTGATCATGGCAAGTCGCACTCCAGTCAAAGCAGCCAGCAGTCCCCAAAGCCATCTGTCATTAAAAGCAGAAGCCATGGCATCTTCCCTGACCCAGCCAAGGGTAGGAGATATTTCAAATAGAAAAAGCTTTTATCTTTTTGTTCACCCAGTATCTTCTTGAATACGAATGCCTATATATTGAACATAGTTTGAGGGTTGAATTCTATTAGAAGGTATTTAATATAATATTATGCAAAGAATAATGGATATGGAATGAGGAGAAATGGGCTGTAGTCTCAGATCAGCCCATGATTAGGCTTATGGCATTGTGATCTTCACCTCGCTAATTCTTCATTTTTCAACCTGTAAAATGGAGTAGGTTGGGTTATATGAGCTATTGGTTCTTTTCCATCTCTCAATATCCATGATAATAGGATTTTATAAGATGAAGTGGGATATTTCATAAAGAAAATATAAAAATTCTCAATAGTTAATTAACTAGACATAATCATTATCATTTATACATATTTCTTCTAATTGTTGAAATTCTTATTTTTCATAGGTACTTTCTTACATATTACATATAGTTGTTATATATAATTTTTAATCTTCCTTTTTACTTATCCCATCCAAAACATTTTTCCTTGTCATCAAATTACTGTGTATGCTGAAATCTATTTAAACTTTTCCTAAATGTTTGACTCGAGCTATTTCTATGATTTTTTTAAAACAAATAATATTTTAAAAATATTATGGCCATACTTTGCTTTTGGAAATATGCACAGCGTCCCCATTTGAATGAGCTTTTCCTTTGGGAGGGTCATTACCAATAACCCTACAGTACAACGTTAATCTTCATCATAAACTGAGTTACTGCTTTCATGAGATAACCGCGCAGTATCTTACCTTGATATACTGAACGATTTATACAAGATTTTATATTGGACTTAAGTATTGCTTCCTTTTTTCCTTCAGAAAGTACATCCAATTGAAAAGTCATTCTTTGCCTATTAGAAAGGAATGGATTGTAAAGACAAATGTTCTAGGAAATAGAAAACGGAGGCCATCCGTGTCCAGTAGGCCAGTAAACTGATATGACAAACCACTGACTACAAGTGCTATAGATTTATTATGAATGAGTTTTATAGATTATTTACGGATTCCACAGAGCAAGATCAACTCTGGCCAGATTAACATTCTGGAAGATCACTAGTGTAAAGACCTCTCTCTCTATGACTCTATGGGAGATAGATATATATATATTACACACACACACACATTCCAAATCACCCAAGGCAAGGATTCTGTAATCTTCACTCAATATGTCCTAGTGACTCACGTACCTTCATCCAAGAATTCACTACATTCCTACTTAAAATTCCTCCTGTGATCATGTAAGCCTCTTGTCTCTTACCTCGTTCCTCTTAGACCTGGCAGAATTGCCTGGTGAAACTATAATATATTTATTCACATAAGGTTAGTTAGAATGTATTCCTCTTGTCAAACTTCTCAAGGTTATTATCCATTTGCCTTTCCTCCCCCAAAATTGTTTCCCAAATATTTAATCATATTACTGTATGGTGAGCGGTCCCATAAAGAGCCAAAGAAACAGATTACCCTAAATCTCAGGACAGTTTCAAATTGTATGAGACCAAGCTTGACAGGAGGAATGCCAGGGAAACTTTAACTCAATGTTTTACTTTTTTGTAACCAGACATGCAGGTTCCCACCATTGAGAAATCCCATAGTAGTCCCGGTAGCTCGAAATCCTCATCTGAAGGCCATCTCCGTTCTCATGGACCATCTCGCAGCCAAAGCAAAACCAGCGTCACTCAAACCCACCTGGAAGACGCAGGGGCTGCTATAGCCGCTGCTGAAGCCGCTGTGCAACAACTCCGCCTTCAACCAAGTAAAAGACGCAAATAAATTCCTCAGCATGGCAGCTTAATGTTCATCTGTTGCCTTTCTTTCCTGCTGTCCTTTCCTGTTTGCTTTCTGTTCTTGGCATACCCTGCTCACTCTGTTCTCTGTCCCTTTGTCTGTGTAAGAACTATCAATACATAAATATGCTCTTTCTTATTTAGATTTTTTAGTTTACATAGACTGCAGTAAAACTGGCTGTTTCTACTTCGTCTCCACCATCCATCCAACCTGGCTCATAGTGTTTGGTAGCTGTGTCTGTGATGTTTGCAGGCAAACAATGTTGTGTGTCCTTTTTGTGTGCACTGAACTATCCTTTAGAGTACAGGAATTATAAGCACAATGGCTGCCAATTTTCCAGGCATTACACCAAACACACACACACACATGCAGGCATTTAAAACAGATTATTCATGAGATTCTCACATCTAAAAACACTCAAAAATTTGAGGCAGAAGAGCAATATGACCAACAGTCAAGTTTTAGAACCTAGGGTGAAAAGCCATTTTAAGTTTAAAAACATTAACAGATTATGCGTGTGAAATGTCGTTTTTTTGTGGGAAACTGCCGTCTTTGGGAAAAAGAAATCTATGAAGTAAATCACATTTCTTATATTCTCAAGAAAGTACAGAATATTAATATGTATATAAGTAGATGCGATGAGGCAGTACAACCTCATTAAGGAACATAATCGGGTCCATTCTGTTGGATCCTGCTTTGTATATGATAACAGAGAACGTTTATGTTATTTTTTTTCTAGCCTTTGGAAATCCTTTGACAGTAAAATATCACTTAAAGCATAACAACTTATCCATCTTAACTGCTGCATCTTCATTTAATTTGTGAAAACTTAGTCGATCGATATATAAAGACTTAAATACAGAGATTTTTACAAATGTCGGTGGGCTGTTACTTCCGAGAGGCACTAGCCAGACAATGGAGAAAGATGAGCACATTCTCCCTATCGCCCAAAGCCATCATTTCCAAAGAAACAGCCAGTTTTAACCCCCTTTAGCGCTGTGCATGTGGTGTCATTTTGGCATTTGAAAACACAACTTACTTAAATAGAGCGAAAGATCACTTCTGTTTGCATGACTAACCTTTAAGCTGGTTTCCTCTGAGGATACATACTCTGGGTTTCCATCTCACCCACACTGCCCCAGCAGCACATAAAAGCGGTCAGTCTAATCATGCCAGGAAGCAGCACAGACACAGCATAGCAGGAGTCCTCCCCATTCAAAGAACTCAGTCTGATAATCTGCCTCCACCAGCCAATGGCAACCAAGACCAAAGCCAGCTAGCCCTCAGGAAGGTGATGTCTGACGGACCAGTCAAGCCAGAAGGAGGTGAGCAGAAAGGCGCTGTTCAAAGCACACAGCAAGAACATTCCCCAAATTTAAAGCCTTCATCTTTTAATTTTTAGAGATTGTCTGATAAAATATGTTTATCCACCTTTTAATGTGCTTTTGTGGGCATGGCATTTCAGGACTTCATCATCACCATGTAAGTCCCAAGATCAGTCCCGTAATATACTGACTACAGTGATTTGTATTTTTCTATGCACTGGGCATCTTCTGACTTTTGTTGGGAAATAGATTAACAGTATTCATATGGCAGAATGGAATGCATGCTACTAACCTAATCTGTTCAAGCATGACTATAAATATGTTGCATTGTGATAAAACTTTAAACTGCTCTCAATTCGAGTTAGTGTACCAGCTAATAATGTAGATCAGTTTTTGTTACGTATCATTTCAAGTGTAACTTTTAAAAAATTCAGTGGACTTTGGAAATTCTTAGAGGAAAGTAAAGGAAAAATTGTTAATGCACTCATTCACCTTTCCTTGGTGAAAGTTCTCTCTTTATCTTACGAACAGACATTTTCCACTCATGTTTCCGTAGTTGTAAGTGTATCGTGTTGGGCATGTGAATATCCAAGTGCCTGTGTAATAAATAAAGTATCTTTATTTCATTCATAAACTACTGGGTTCTGAGCCATTGTTATATGATGCAGCCTAAAATGAGTGTGTCAGTTTTTGCTTTCTCATTTGATTCCTTGCCATAGAAGTATTTATAGCTACTGCTCCATTGTTAGCAAGAACATTCCCCAAATTCCCCATTGAGAGCTATAATGCTAGAGCTTTGGGGAGCAGACCAAAGTTTCATGTCAAAAACATTCTAAGATAGACAGAAAATTATTTCCGAATAAAAGCACTGGAGCTTACATAAACATGTAAGTCAATAATGGAGTTGGGCAACTCTTAGGCAATGCTTCGACTATTTCTTTCTCCCACATCTGACCTATTTCACAATCTTCTCAGGCTCCTGGATAGAGAAGGACAAATTCTGTGTGCCCCTGCTCTGGAGATGCATCTAAACTTGATGCCATAGCTGTGAAAGGCAAGCGAATTTATATCTGCCCCTGACATGACCCAGCGCTGGTGGGATCTTCCCAGAGAGAGTGCTGCTGCCAGTGGCAGGACTCCAACCGGGGTGATCGGAGCAATTATCTTCAAAAACATATATAAAATAAAGATTTTAAAAAATATATAGGATAGCAGTGTTTGCCCCTCAGGTCTCTTCCACCCCTAAAATACTTGATTTTATGATTTGATAGTTCCACAGAATTAAAATCAAACCTTGTACTAGCCTATAGAAATTATCTGTCTGCTCAGAAAATTAAAAAATGTAATACACTCTTATCCCGACTAATCATATATTTACGGGCTGTGGAAGATGCATGTGGCAGGGCACAGGGCAAACCGTTGCGGTGGTTCTTGAATTAGCCAGGTAACTAAGGAAACAATTGGCTTAAATGTTTGCATAATTCTGAATGTGCCCAATTTATAGATTAGCACCAAAGCACAAACTCTCTTTTCTAGTTAGCCTTCCTAGTCCTTTCCAAAAGTGCTTAAAATTCCTTTCCTCACCTTTTCTTCCATCAAGTAAGTTTGGTTGATTTCTTAATGGTATTCATTTTCTTCCTTCAAATATTTTGGAATTAGAAATATCAAAGTAGTCAATTGCTTCCCTTATTTCATATTCTGTGTTTGATTATCATGATTTAAGTTACCGTATAATATTTTATCTGATTTTTTATAAATATTGTTAAAATTTTATTAAATTGTTTTTAATCCCCTTTTTACAAATAATGCTCTGATGGATATTCTCATACATTTAAGGTGCTAAGATTGAATCTTGAAATCATTATTGAAATTACAATCAAAAGAATACCAAGATACCATAGCATGAATTCTTGTTTAATTTTATTCTAATAAACGATAAAGAAAATGCCTTTTTTTACATAGATCTATTATATCCCTGTTAAAACTCATAAACGAGCTCATATAATCCCACCTGCATTCTGAAAATAATCCTCTGTGTTGAAATAATTCTTCACATCATACAAAGTGTGTTGTCACCCATTTTCTCATGTTCTCACACCTAGTGGATGAGGTATTTGTTGCAGATATTTTTCTGAGCAAGCAATTAGAGAATCAGAGAACTAGAATAGAAGAACACAGAGCTAGAATTTTTTTAAATCTGCAATATAACTCTTCTCTTGTTATTAGGCTTAAGCCTTTACTTTTTTAAATACATTAGCTCCTTTGAAATCAAACTCCCCTGATTTTAATAAAAACAACTGTCATTTACTTATTTTTTTCTTACTCAAGTTCCAACAAATGACTAGAGGTTGCTAGAAATAATGGCAGAATACAATTTAGACTTTCTCTACCTACATGATCTTCTTTTCTGAAGGCTGATGATAAAGCTGCCACAAGCCAAGTACATAAAATCGTCTCACTGCACAAGTGCAATGTGGCAGTATCTGTAGTCATCTCTGTCAAGGGGGATGAAATTGTCCCCAAAGAGCTTTTCAATTTTTTTTTCTGAGCTTTTCAGCAGATTTCTGCTTGAGGTAGCATAAAATATGGGTCAGGCAATAATTATGAAGTGAGCCAAAAAGAACTTTTTTTCCCCCTCTGGGATTTAGTTGCATGCCTAGAAACCTGAGGGGAAAGATTAGACAGATTGTACCAGAACACCCTGACGCCTAAACAAACTCTCTGTATTTAGAAATCCCTGGAAATGGTTTTTTCGAGCCAGTTGTTTTGGTTGAACACAGGCCCTGTCATTTCAGAAGGTGACATCAACCAGGGAAGAGAGGTTATAAAGTAGATTAAAAAACAAAACCCACGATGAAAACAAACTGAAGCATTCTTAAAACCTTGAAAATGAGTTTATATGACATTCCAGATATCATACTTTAGGTGCAGTTTGAAAATCCTGAGCTCTTTTTGTTTGATACCAAGATTTTTGGTGAGTTTTAAGTTCAGAGCCAGTAACACAGGGTGAATAGAAATATTCCTCCACTCTGGACAATAAGAGCTGTTGGGATGGGTCAGCAAGGTTAGGTGAGAAGAGGAATCTGTGAGGAGATCATGATTTGAGTTGGTTGGTGTGGCCGAATTGTAGGAGACAGGCCTGAAGCTACTTCCACAGACCGCTGCTGGAAACTCCACTTTCAGTAAGGCTCGTTGCGGCACCTGCCAAAGAAGAGCTTCATATTCTTATGTCGCTGTGGGGAACTCTTACTAAGCCATCACTCTGTGGGAGCCGCTCTCTTGGGCAAGCGGTAATGGGTGGCTGGGTTGGGAAGCAGGGTGGGCACTGGGAGCGAAGGGAATCATTACAAAAGGTGTTAGCTAATCAGTGTCTCATTCTCTTCGAACTGGAAGGAAACGGTCACTTTTGGTCAGAAGGAATTTTCCATTCCCTGTTTATGGAGAGGGTCCAAAGGGAAATCGAGAAGAAATCAGAATGAGTTTGTTGTGAGGTGAAACCTTCTATGACATTTGTAACAGGTTAATAAAAACATTTATATTCTTCATTTCAATGTGTTCATAAAAAAAAATCTTCAAAAAAACCTGGGATAGTTTAATATAAAAAGAAATTGAAACTGTAATTATTTGAACACAGCAAACATCCGACAAAATGTGAGAGAATCAAATTGGACCTCAGGTTTCAAAGTTCTATGCCTATTTTCCTGGAAACAAGGTTTTTGTTTCATTTAGTTTTGGTGTCTGTGAAAATCAAAATGATCTTTTTTTAAGTTTTGTTCTTTTAAGAGCTACCATATTTTCTTAGAAGGATTGAATATGATTTTCAACTCTTTCTCTAGCCATCTAACATTTATTGCCAGAACTATCTCTGCTACACAAGCAGAGTCACAGATAGTAAAACAATAGCTCTGACCATATGACACTGTCTTTTGTTTATGAACCTTCATTCACAAACATGAATCCACTGACCTACCATCAATGGATATTTTTGTTCTTTTCTGGTAGTTTTCCGGTAGTAGCCATGGGTCTGCACAGAGCCATCCACATAGTGTATGTCTGATTCACACTGGCGACTTACGTGTTCATTTCATCTGACATGAATAGCAAGACCAACTGGCCCATCTAAGTATCAAGGTTTCATCAGTATTGCTGTGCCTTAGTCACATGACCTAACTACGGGCTTATATGATTGGATGTGACTATGATACGTTATCTGAGACGAAGAGGAAGGCCTAATTTTAACATGCCGAAGTTCCTTAAATATTATTTATGATGTGTCTTTAACAAAGTTAAACTTAATTTTTAAAATGCAACATTTTCCTTTGGGCTCAAGAAAGTTATTTTGAAAAAATTAATTTATGAAATTACCACCAGAGGGCAGAACTCTGAGGAAATGAGACAGACAAATAAATGGTGATGGTGAAAAGAAATAAAAAGCATGGAGCATGAGAAGGCTGATGGGGACACAGTGAGGGGCCCTGGACAAAGAGCGCACTGTGACCACAGGGCTGGGAACAGTATCACCCGGGCAGGAGAGGTCATGGAACCAGGCAAATGCTACCTAAGAGAGAGGAATTCCAAAGGCACTATCTGGCTACTTACCAGTATTGCCTAAATCCACATTCTATCCATGAATTACTTAATTTTTTCCCACTTTTCATCCCCATGTATTACATTATGTAAAATCATGATATTTCACCCATTCTTCATTGTACAAGATAGTTTTTGGGGGAGGGGAACATATGGATATTGGATAGGATAAAAGGAATCTTCATGTGTCCTCAGGCAGATTGGGAAACTATCCTCTTGCGTTTTATTTTATTACTGTGTAGAATGTGTAAATAAATAATTATTCAGGAACCACTTGTGGACTTTAAATAAAAGCATACCAGAAATACAGGATTTTGAAAAAATACAAATAATATAGCTGTATAATCATATAGCAATACTTCAGTTTCTCATCTTT